ACAAAAAAAAAAAAAAAAAAAAAAAAAAAAAACTGCAAGGGAACTGCTGAATACAGAGGCTGTACTGACTATAGTCTGAGCAGCATTATTTCATCAAGCCTTTGGTAAATATCCAAGCTTTTCCCTTAGGTAGATTTTTTTCTTCAAAGTCTTCTATTCCTCTGGGGCAATACTAAGAGATAAAAAGGTACAACACATACTTCTAGGATCAAGCTGCTTCCCAGGAAATGGAAAACCTAGGCAGCATGGTCAGTCGTCTTGCCAGATCCATTGCCTCTGCAGCAGCTTCTCCATAAGTTAGCTTCTTAAGAGCAATTAATTTACATCCCCACTTCTTAGATCTACTGGGCAGTGCACTTCTGACATATGTGCACAACACAAGAGCTGTGATTCAATTAAAATATGAAGTAAATACAATACCCTTTGGGAGAGCTATGCATTCAGAAGGAAATTTTGTTTCCAGAAATGCTTTTGAGAGGAATCCTCTACTTCACATCTTCAGCATTCTGCTGTCAGAACTGTTCCCTTTGGAGAATATATGTGGGCTATGAAAGAATGCAGATCTTTTCTTGATTGAACTAATGGTATGATTAACAACTTTTTTTTCGATGAAACTACCAGATTTGTTCCAATCCACCATACTGTGTAAAAATCTTGTTACAAGGACATTGCTTTTGGAAGCTAGAAAACGGAATCTAGTAATTAACTCGTGTGTTAGCATAAATGGCCAGAGCCTGAATGAATTCCCACACCCACACAAGCTCCCAAATAGATCATAAATCATACAATTAATATTACAAAATGCCCAATTATATGTTTCTCTTGGCCAGGAATTCCTGCCTCTTTGTTTGCACTTCTCTGAAAGTGTCTCCAGTTAGCTAGTAAGGTTTTGTGAAATTTTCAAAACAAATTCTATGTTACTTTCCTCCCCTGCAAAAATATAGGTATGCACCCTTTGTTACTGGAAGGGTTGCAGATGGTAGAGAAAGAGGATCTAACAGAATCCAGTAAACAATGATGTTTTGCAAATCCTGAAAGTTTGACTTCCTATAGCACTTTAATATCTGGGTGACTCATTTGGCACCTAATACAGTGGCTGGGACTGGATTAAACTGTTTCACATATGTGTGCTTTGTCTCCCACCACTCTAATCATTTGCTGCTGGAGCAGCAGCATGGCCTAACTTTTCTTTTGTAAAGTGGTATAACCACTTTGGAGTATAGTTTGGAAGATTCTTAAAAAGTTAGATAATCCTGGAGAAAAAAAAAAGACAGTAAGTAAAAACTAAGGCCATTTGAATGAAGTATTGATTTTAGTTAATAATAACGTATCAATTTTGGTTCTTTAATTGTAACAAATGTACCATAGTAACTTAAGATGTTAGTAACAAGAAAAACTGTCTCTTTTGCCATGTGAGGACACATGAGGGTACAGTAAGAAAATGGCCATCTATCAACCAGGAAGTGAGCTCCCATCAGCCATTGAGTCTGCTGGTGCCTTGATTTTGGACTTCCCAATCTCTAGAACTGTGAGAAACAAATATTTGTTGTTTTACCCACCCAGTCTATGAAATTTATAGCAGCTGAACAGAATAAGACACTATCTTTACAATTTTTATGTAAATCTAAAATTATTCTAAAAAGGAAAGTTTTTTTTAAAAAAGCTTTAAAAGGAACTAAAACAGTTAAATAAATGTACACTTACTATCTAATTCATCCATTCCATGTCTAGATATTTATCCAGGAATAAAGGAAATATATATGCATACAAAGATGCATGCATGTATGTTCATAGCAGCTTTATCTGTAATAGCCCTCAAACTGGTAACAACCCAAATGTCCATCAACAAGTGAATGGATAACCAAATTGTTTATATCCATATAATGGAATAATACTGAGCAATAAAAAAAAGAATGAACTACTGATTCTTGTAACAAGACAGATGAATCTCAAAATAATTGTGTTTAGTGAAATAATCCAGACAATAAAAGAGTACATACTGCATGATTCCATTTATATAAAACTCTATAAAATGCAAACTGATTTATAGTGACAGAAAGATAAGTGTTGTTTTGAAAGAAGGGCAGGAGGGGGGCATTACCAAGGAGCACCAGGAAACTTGTGGGTAATTTATATGTTCATTATCTTCATTATGATGATGGTTTCATAGGTGGATACATATATCAATCAGCCCTTACAGATTATACACTCTAAATTGTGTGTTTATTGTATGCCAATTATGTGCCAATAAACCTGTTTATTTTTTTAAAAATCCAATTAGTCATGTATAGGAAAAGGGAAATAATTATCTTAGGCTCATATAACTACTACCTTTGATCATTAAACATAGCTCTGAGCTTTTTGGCAGTGGAAATTTTGCTTCTTTGTATCACTGTACCTACCACTGGCTGTTTGGGGACCAGTTTCTTTCTCTGAAAAATGACGAGTGACCCTTAAAGTCTTTTACAGGCAGATATATTGAGAATAATTCTAAACATGTATCTTCTGAAATAAGTTAATATAAATTCATTTGCATTAATTTCATAAACCTTAACTTGAAACTGGCTAATAAAGTGATACCTATTAGGAACCTTAAAGATTAAATGGGAATTAATAGTTAAGAACTATTTGTAAGTAGTATACTGATTATTTTTTTCTGAGTATCTGTTTTATGTCAGGCAATCAATTAGAAGTATTTTTTAAAAAATAGCTTTATTGAGATATCATTTACATACCATACAATTCATCCATTTAAAATTCACAATTCACTGTTTTTTAGTATATTCACAGGTATGTGCAACCATCAGCACAGTCAATTTTGTAACATTTTCATCACCTCCAAAAGAAGCCTTAGACTCAAAGGGCATAGAGATTCCTCTTGGGGTGATGAAAAATTTCTAGAACTATATAGTGGTGGTGGTTGCACAACATTGTGAATGTATTAAATGTTACTGAATTGTACACTTTAAAATAATGCATTTTAGGTTACAATATTGTATCCAGCACACCAAAACCCACTCCATAAAACTTACCCATATACTTTAGGTACTTACCCTTATCGCTCCATTCTTCCAGTTCTAAGCAAACACTAATATACTTTTGCCTCTATAGATTGGCCTATTCTAGGCATTTCATATAAATGAAATCATATAATATGTGGTCTTTTGTCACTGACTTCTTTCACTGAGAATGTTTTCAAGGTTCATCCATGTTGTAGTGTGTATCACTATCTCATTTATTCCTTTATATGGCTAAACAATATTCCACTGTATGAATACATCACATTTTATTTATCCATGCATCAATTAATGGTCATTTAGGCTGTTTCCACCTATTGTCTATTATGAATAATGCTACTGTGAACATTTATATACAAGTTTTTGTGTGGATATATGTTTTGATTTCTCTTGGTTATATACCTAGGAAGGGAATTGCTGATAACTCTTTGTTTAACCGTTTGAGGAATTGCAGAAAGTGGCTGCACGATTTTACACTCCCACCAGAAGTGTATGAGGGTTCCAATTTCTCTGCATACTCGTCAGCGCTTGTTGTAATCTGACATTTTGATTATAGCCATCCTAGTGAGTATGAAGTATTGGCCAAAAAGTTTGTTGGGGTTTTCCATACCATCTTACAGAAAATCCCGAATGAACTTTTTGACCGACCCAATATTATCACATGGTTTTGATTTATCTTTCCCTGATGACTAATGGTGTCAGCTACATTTTCATGTACTTTTTTTCCTAGAAATATGCTCATATAGAGAATATTTTACATAAACTCTCAGGGGGTTCATAGACCCTCAAAATTATGTACCCCTAGAGGGGAGTTATTACATGGACACATGAAGAGAAACTGTCATGGTAGTTATTATAAATTATACCTAATCATAGTAAATAATATAATGTGTATGTTTTTCTTTTAAACTGCTATATATTTAATAAGAAAAATAAAAGAACACATTTTAACATTAGTTGCACTGAAATACTGGTTTGCTTTCCATTTCATGATTCTTAATAGCGGTGGAGGGGGAGGGGTCCCAATTCCTATTGTAGTGAGAAAAGTATATTATATATCACCATTTCTGAAATCAAAGGGTAACCCCATAGACTGAGGTAGAAAAAATTACCTATCTCTTATTTGTACAATGTGGTCATATACATAGGATTAGAAAACCAATAGAATAGATGTCTATATATCAGGGAGGTATCCGTGTAACAGGAGAGTGAAAAGAGGTCTAGGGAGGTACTAACCTGTAAGTCACTTTCAGGATGAGCAGGGGGTACTGGGAAAAAGAAACACTATTCAACAAGAGTCAACAGTTATTTTGGCGAGTACTGGCTTACTACTGCCAGCACAGCTTTATACTTATGACGTATGAAAATTGTCTGTTCCCAGGGAGTAAATGAGCATTTGCCCTGTGGTCTGAAGAGTCACCTACAAAGTTTGGATCTTTGCTGGGACTAGAGAAACAGTGGCCTAAGCTTTGAAACCTTAAAGGAATTTGCTTAGGCAGCTTTGAGGGAATCATTATACCCCATGGTATATTCTTAGAACCTGAGAAAACTTCCTTATATTGGAAGCTTATACATTAGCATTTCTTAAGGCAGTCAGCCTCACTCTCTCCACCAGATCAGCTTTTAGAAAATGGAATGATTTGGAGTTGCAATTAAAATCCCAGGCAGAAGCTCTTCTAGGATGTTCCATTGCTTAGCTGCAAACACAGCAAATAAAAGTAAGCAATTCAAGTTCTGTACCTTATTTCACCTTCTCTAATGTGACCTGCCAGTTCCTCAATAAACTTCTCCCCTTTCATCCAGTAGATCATTGGTCCGGACTCTCCACTGAATCCAAAGAATGCTTTGCAAGGGATGTTCAGAGGCTTACCTGAGAATGACAGAGAAAAAAATGAGCAAATGGCTCTGGTTATCATTGGAAGACAGAAAAGGACCATTTAACATCCAAAGGAAAACTCAGAATTGACCCATTTACAACTCTTCTTCCAATCACCTTATCACTGCAAATAAGAACATTTTAAAATACTTACAAGGGCCTCTGGGAAATTTTAAAATTCAATATATTATCAAAAATGAGAAAGTAAAGAAAGTTACTAAGTTTTTAGAACTGCTTATTTTTACTGCCTCCCTCCTAGGAACTAATATGAAAGAATCATATGGAAGGAACCCTCTTTTATTTTACTTTTTTGAGAATATTAATAACTGCTTACTTGGACTTACCTTTGAAGTTAACATTAATCAAAGTATAAGTTAGTTTTTGATTTGTGAGAAAATATATAATAGACTATCCACTATTACTAAGATTGCATAGAGAAATTTTGTTAATTCTGATTATTGTATATTCTGAGAAAAATTGGATAATTAAAATCAAAGAAGAATTTTATAATCATAAGATCTGTAGAAAGTACATGGAGTGAAAACTCAGTCTAACCATATCTTTGATATTCCTTGTGTCACCTACAGTACTTAAATAATTCTAGGCAATACTGCAGTTTTTTACTATGCATCTTGGTGATTATAGCTAAAAACTTTGTTTTATTTATGAATTTATCATCAAATATATAAGCAATTATTTTTTTGCTGGTGTTGATTTTGCTTTCTTCTTACAAAGTAAATCAGTAAGGGAAGAATGGTATAGAGAGTACAATCTTGACATTTCTGACAAAGGAATCCCCTAATTCATAAATCATAATATAACATATTTTCTGTATAACATGTAATTTTTGCCCTGGTTGGAGCACTAGATAAAGCAATTTCAAAAATATTTTTTTCCTTGTAGAGTACATGGTGAAGTTGTTCCCATAATAACTCTGAGCTGTGTAAAATTTCTCCTTTCTATTCTTAAATTGATCCAAAACTTCCATGTTCTAAGAACAATTACTTTTTGGGAACTTTTCTATTTAATCACAATAACTAGCAGATGGCTTGCTTTGAGGACCATTTTCACCAAGAAACAATTTTAATTGGAGTTAGGGTCTACATTGAGACAGTGGAAATTAAGAAAACCTCACAGACATATGGATGCTGGGTGATAGGCTGGGCTTAACCACAATAAGTGTTACCAAATATTGGTCTTTTTATAGTGTAAATTTCTCTCTCAGCAAGATGACTTGTCATGGACCTTTGGGATCATTCAATTACTCTCAAAAGCTTTGATATCAACAGTCTTTCATATATGTCATGCTAATCTGAAACAAGGTTATTCATTGTTTCTTTGAACATGTGTTTTGTGATACAAGCTTGTCTAAAAAATGGAAGACAGCCTTGTATGGCTAAGAGATGTGGGTCCTTGTTTTGGATCTATCATTAAAAAGTAGACTCTCTGGCCCTGGGTACATTACCTAACCTTTTACAAACTGATTTCTCATATATGTAATAAGGATGATAATAATACTTTGGATGCTCAGATAAGACAATATCTACAAAAGTGCTTGGTGAACGTGCAAGTCCCATCCAAATTTAGCATGGTTGTGTTTTCCTTCCAAGGCTTGGTCTTTCAAAAAGTCAAGTTTGAGGCATAATTCTATATATGTAATGAGATAGATAACTGTTCATTTTGATCCTGCCAATCTCATGTCCTTCTTTTACTTATGAGTGCCTATGGGGTAATATCCTTTTCTTATCAATGCTCTATAAATATTTCCCAGATTCTAGAGTAGGTGTGATTCATCCAAGCAGGCCCCGTGTTCTCTAAACCCGAACACAGGGTCTTTTTATGCCTTACTGCTCTTCATTCCCATGAAACTAAAGGTATTACAGAATGTCAACCTAGATGGCAAAAGATCCAGAGACTGTGATAAACATTATTATAAGGATCCCAGTTGCTAAAACTACCAGTATATACATTTATACAAATAAATTCTGGTTGTCATTCCTTTGGGCTATGTTGAAAGAATATATCAAATAAAATACCTTTTAGTGATTCCTAGCATGTGGGTACTCAGGCCTGGTTTGATTTTAATGGAAAAAGACGATTATAGCAATGTGCAAAAAGGTGCCTCCTTGAGGTGGTCTATCAAAAATGACAGCATCTGCCCTTTCCTTGGCACTACACAATGGGTACTGACTATTGCAGCGATTTCTCCTGGGAATGTTTTTACTCTCCCATCAGACAGGTTTTGTTAAATAAATGCAAGAGACATATTTCAGCAGTCTAGTTTCTACAAATGCTGAACAAATATCCTGAAGCCTTTGTCAACGGCTAAAACCGGAAGATGGTCCAATCATCATACGCAGTACTCTGAAGAGAGTCCCAAAATGATCAGCTCTTGCGCCAGATAGTGAGAATCAATGTGTGCCACGTTGTGAGTACCTCTTCTTTCAAAAGGCCTGGGAGGGATCTCAGCACTGATTGAGCAAATAACCTGAAACAGTCTCTCCGGGTTTTTCTAAAATCTGGCTTAAGTGCATGTGCAAACTCCTATCTACCATTTGTATCTGTTTGCTATTGTATTGTTTTGCCTCCAGATGTTTTCAAAGTCATTCCTATGGTACTGTATATCCTACTAGTAGAGATGACAAACTCATATTTGTATCTAAAAAGGATTGTACAGTAGGTTGAAGACTATCAAAATAAAAATAACTTTGCGAGCTTCTCAGTGTTTTGTGCTATTTACAAGGTAACAGCTTTAGACATAACTCCCTTTTAGGTTCAGTCTGTATTACTAGCAATTTCTCTATCACTTTATTAAGTCTAGACCAGTCAATAAAACATATGTTCATACAAAGACTTATATATGAATGTTCATACCAGCTTTATTTGTAATACCCCCAAACTGGAAATAGTCTAAATGTTCATCAACAGGTGAAGGAATACTCTGGTACATCCATACAAAAAATATTCATCAGGTATGAAAAGGATGAAGTACTGATACATACCACAACATATGATTTTTGAGATTTAAAGCAATTATACTAAGTTAAAGAGGTCAAACAAAAGAGTACATGCTTTATGACTCAATTTATATAAAATTCTAGGAAGCTAAAATTAATCTACAGTTTCTTAAAAAGTTGAACATCTGCCATGTGATCCAACCATTCCATATGAAAGCCTATGTCTATATAAAAACTTGTACACAAATATTCATATCAGCTTTATTTTTTCAATTGAGGTATAATTGACATATAATATATTAGTTTTAGGTATATAACACAATGATTTGATATTTGTATATATTGCAAAATGATCACCAAAATAAGTCTAGTTAACATGTCACCACACATAGTCATGAATATATTTTTTCTTGTGATGAAGGCTTTTACAGTCTACTCTCTTAACAAATTTCAAAATGCAATACAGTATTAACTATAGTCACCATGTTGTACATTATATCACCATGACTTATTTATTTTATAACTGGAAGTTTGTACCTATTGACCCCTCATTTTGCCCACCCACCACAAACCCCACCTCTGGCAGCCACCAATCTATTTTTATCTATGAGTTTGTTTTATGTTTACTTATTTGTTTGTTTTAGATTCCACATATAATTGAGGTCATACAGTGTTTGTCTTTGTATGACTTATTTCACTTAGCATAATGCCCTCAACATCCATTCATGTTGTTTCAAATAGTGAGATTTCATTCTTTTTCATGGGTGAATTATATTTCATTACGCACACACACACACACACACACACACACACACACACACCACATTTTCTTTATCCATTCACCCATTGATGGACACTTAGGTTGTTTCCATATCTTGGCTATTGTAAGTAATGCTCCAATGAATATGGGGGTGCAGATATCTTTTTGAGCTAGTGTGTTCATTTTTTTTGGATAAATACTCAGAGCAGAATTACTGAATCATATGGTAGTTCTATTTTTAATTTTGAGAAAACTCCATACTGTTTTCCATAGTGGAAACACTAATTTACATTCCTACCAACAGTGCACAAGGTTTCCCTTTTTTCCACATCCTCACCGACACTTGTTATTTGTTCTTTTTGATAATAGCCATTCTAACAGGTGTGAGGTGATCTCATTGTGGTTTGATTTGCATTTCTCTGATGATTATTTCATGTACCTGTTAGCAATCTGTTGATTATCATTTCATGTACCTGTTGGCCATCTGCATGTCTTCTTTGGAAATATGTTTGTTCAGATCTGCCCATTTCTAAATCAAATTTTTTTGTTTTTTTTTTGTTTTTGTTTTGTTTTTTGGTTTTTTGGTTTGGTTTGCTATTGAGTTATATGTGTTCTTTATATTTACCACCTATCATATATATGATTTGCAAAAATTTTCTCTTATTCAGTCAGTTGCCTTTTCATTGTTGATGGTTTCCTTTACTGTGCAAAAGCTTTTTTGTTTGATGTAATCCCATTTGTTTATTTTTGTTTTTGTTGCTTTTGGTTTGGAGTCAGATTTTAAAAATCATCTCCAAACTAACTGATATCAAGGAGTTTACTGCCTATGTTTTGTTCGAGGAGTTTTATAGGTTCAGGTATTTCATTCTACTCTTTAATCCATTTTGAGTTAATTTTTGTATATGGTATAGGATATTCATCCAGTTTCATTCTTTTGCATGTGGCTGTCCAGTTTTCCCAATAACATTTATTGAAGATACTGGCCTTTCCTCATTGTATATTTTTGACTCCTGTGTCATAAATTAATTGACCATATATGTGTGGGTGTATTTCTGGGCTCTATATTCTGTTCCATTGATCTATGTGTCTGTTTTTATGCCAGTACCATACTGTTTTGATTACTGTAGCTTTGTAATACAGTTTGAAATCAGGGAGTATGATGCCTCCATATTTGTTCTTCTTTCTAAAAATGTTTTGGCTATCTATGTCTTTTATTGTCCCATACAAATTTTAGGATTGTTTATTCTATTTATGTGAAAAAATACCATTGCCATTTT